TGGATCGAGTCCCGCATCGGGCTCCCTGCTCGTCAAGGAGTCTGCTTCTCCCTCTGACCCTCCCCCTTCTCATGTACTCTCTCTCCTTCTCGCTCTCTCAAATAAATAAATAATCTTAAAAAAAAAAAAAGACTTCCATTAGAGCAATCCCCTCTTTATAAAAGAGGAAAACCTACACATTTGGATAAAGAACCTATCAAAGATTTGCAAGAAAATATCTTCAACATTTCCTGAAACTCCTCTTGAAATGGAGAAAGCAAAATCAAATGTCAAAATTTAGTTTTATCTTGCTACTAGAGGAGTCTGTAACAGAAAGAAAAGATCCATGTCCAAAACCTTAAGGAGCTTAGAGAAAAAGGAAGAGCCATTTCCCTCTCCAGATCTTTTGTGCTTTATATCAACAGCTAACAGAATTCATCAAGTTCACAATACTACAAAAGTAAGGGCTATGAGAGCTGCAGTTTCACGGCAAGGGGGCTGCTGTGAAGGGAATTTAGTCATTCTGGACAAGAAAGGGAAAAAACCTGAAATTTTTAAATACAAAGGAACACCACAAAGATTATTAATTTTTTCCCTGGATTCAACATCTTCCAGATCCCATAAATTAATGAAAATATTAAACAGCTAAAGGTTCAAAAATGAAAATGGTACAAAGTAAGTTCAACTGTTTCTTGCCTCAGTTAGTTAAATCTGAGAGAATAAAGGAGAAAAACAACCAAATGTGCCAAGATGGATAACCTGGAAGAAAAAAAAAAATAAAAACCTACCTTTTTTGTTGAAGGAGGTTTCACACACCAGCATCTCCCCTGGACCCCAGTCAAAACACATTTGCTTCTTTGAATTCACTCCTGGAATCAACTAGTTAAAAAAAAAATTTAAAAAAAAGGGCACAGACACTGTTATTTTTACTAAAGGCTTTGCTTTCAAATGATTTCCAAGTAGAACCCTAGAAATAAGTGGCCATGAAAGTTAAGTGCTAATCTATGTATACAGCTGAGTGTGGTTGAGGTCAGCCCAGTCTGTTAAACCCTGAATAAGCAAGCGAGCTTTCCTGGGCACCTCATCTCAGCCTGCCACTTTGCAAGTGTTGATAAAAAGAAGAGGTATCCTTAATCAATTACTATATTGTAATTTAACGATCTATAGTTCAGAAAAAGGGAATTTTAAAAAAATAGAAAAGAAATCGAACTGTCTGGGGTGCCTGGTTGGCTTAGTTGGTTAAGCGTCTGCCTTCAGCTCAGGTTGTGATCCCGGGGTCCTAGAATCGAGTTCCACCGAATCGGTTCTCTCTCTGCCTCTGCCTCTCTCTCTCATGAATAAATAAATATATCTTAAAAAAAAATGAACTGTTGGGGCACTGGGTGGCTCAGTCGTTAAGCGTCTGCCTTCGGCTCAGGTCATGATCCCAAGGTCCTGGGATGGAGCCCCGCATCGGGCTCCCTGCTTGGTGGGAAGCCTGCTTCTCCCTCTCCCACTCCCCCTGCTTGTGTTTCCTCTCTCGCTGTGTCTCTCTGTCAAATAAATAAAATTTTTAAAAAAATAAATAAATAAAAAATAAAGTGAACTGTTACTTACTAAAAGGAGCCCTCCAATACCATGGCTTCTGTGCCATCTCTGATGAGGACTCTCAATTTTTCTCTCCAACTCAGATCAACCCCTTTGAGCCTCAGCCTCATATATCCAATTACCTAATCCACACCTTTATAGGTTACCTAACCTCTAGAGCTATATCCATAACATCAGAACCAAAAAAGGACTCTTGATGCTCATCTCCAAGTCTCATTCCATTCCCCCACTGGGATACCTTCCCCAACTGTTAGGATTAATCTTTTGATTCTTCTCTTTCTCTTACCACCTTTGTCCAATCAGTAAATCCTGTTCTTTTCTTTTTTTTTTTTAAAGATTTATTTATTTATTTGACAGAGAGAGACACAGCGAGAGAGGGAACACAAGCAGGGGGAACGGGAGAGGGAGAAGCAGGCTCCCTGCCGAGCAGGGAGTCCGATGCGGGGCTCGATCCCAGGACCCCGGGATCTTGACCCGAGCTGAAGGCAGACGCTCAACGACTGAGCCACCCAGGCGCCCCAATCCTGTTCTACTCTTAAATAAGCCTGAATCCAACCACTTACATGTCTACCAGTCTAACCCAAGCCACCAACTCTCATATAACTGCAACAGCATTTCTCAGTGCCTGAAATGACTCTCCTACATGGTTATTACCTTGCCCTGCAAATAGATAAAAGCTCACAAGGGCAGGGGATCCCGGGATTCTCATTCACTGCCTAGAAGAGACCCTGGCACAAAGTTGGCACTCCATAAATATTTTTGGCAGAGAATAAATTTGGCCGGCAATAATCTGGTCTCAAGACAAGTGCAGTCAGTTCTTAGGAAGGGCTAATGCAGTCATTTAACTACTAAGCAATGTCTAGTAAGCCTTTTTCTGTACTGTGCTCTAGAAATACAACAATGTATAATACAGTTTCTGCCCTCCAAAAGCTAGCAGTCTACTGAGGAAGTCCAATAAAAAAAAGGCAGTAAGAAAAGTGGAGGGGAGCCTGGGTGGCTCAGTCATTGGGCGTCTGCCTTCTGCTCAGATCATGATCCCAGGGTCCTGGGATTGAGCCCCGCATTGGGCTCCCTGCTCGGTGGGAAGCCTGCTTCTCCCTCTCCCACTCCCCCTGCTTGTGTTCCTGCTCTCCTTATCTCTGTCAAATAAATAAATAAAATCTTTTAAAAAAAAAAAGTGGAGAAATGCTAAGGCAGAGATAAACACAAAAGAGGATGTTTTAGCAGACTCTTAATGAATAGGCCACTCAAGGAGGAAGTGTTATACACAGTGGTACTGAAGCAAATGGGTATCCATAAGCAGAAAATAAACCTCACACCATAGACAATATAAAACTTAGACACAAATGTAGAGAAAAATCTGTAAAATTTGAAAAGCATAATAGAAAATCTTTTTGATCTTAATGTAAGCAAAGATAGGACACAAAAAGCACAAACTACAGAACAATTTATAAATTGGGACTTCATCAAAATTAAACTTTTGTTCTTCAAAAGATATTATTTTTTAATTTTTTTTAAAAGATTTTATGGCTCAATATCAAAGTAGTGACTCCCCAGGGTTGTGCAGGTTACTGGAAATATGCCTCCAACGAAAGATTCTGACATAAATGGAGGAGGGAAAGGCAAGATGATGTGTAGTTTGAAAAAGTTCCAGTGATTCTGATATTCTAATTTTTCTTCTGACACTGACACAGTGCTTGATACATAATATTTAAAGTAATTCATACAGGTCTTAAAAAATTAACACTCTACAGTAGTAAGTTTTATAGAGTAACAACCCACACATTAACTACTATTTACGATCTCATGTCTCATTTTGTCCAACTGGCTTTGAAATGACCCTCATCTTTAATCTCTGGTTTTGTCAAACACTGCTTTTCCATCTGATGGATTTAGCTGAAAACTGCAGGCATCTCAACTTTCTCAAAAGCAATAAATATACGATCAGGCAACCTGCAGTTTAGTTTAGTGAAGCTTACAACTTACCAAGAGCTGGGAGGTGCAGAACAAGCCAATAATGGACAGAAATATTTGCCCTAGTCAGGGAGGTAAGGGAAAGCTTTCCTGAGAATGAGGGTGTGGTTCTTGCATTTAAAAAATGAGGAGATAAACCGGAGAGAAAAAGAGTGTTCCAGGTAGGAGGATCGGTAAGTATCTCGTATCTAAAAGCCACGAATCTCTTTACGAACATTATAGATCATTCACATTTGACACTCTCTTGAAAGTCCAGACAGAACTGAAAGCAAACAGAGCAATAAGAACAAGAAGTCTCCGAGAATACTTTTAGTAAATCTTGGGCCAGCACGGCACAAGAAGCAGAACCCAAGCTCATGGTGTTGCGATATGAAGTTTAGATCTGCGGAAGACAAAATCTCCTTCGACCTCTGCTTGGTCGGAGCCCGCTCACTAGAGCACTAGTCCAACAGGAAAAGCGAGGGAAGTGGGATGGGAAAGTCGGAAAGACAAGAGAGGGTGAGGGATGGAGTAAGGAGTGAGGCCTCCGAGCCAGGCATTTCTGAATATACAAAAAAAGAGTAGAAACCTAGCGACCACTACTGCGACCCAAACACGGGCACCTAGCTAATGGGACCTCCGAACCGTGGCAACTGAGCTGGGGAGGGAGCCAGGAGCCTCGCGGGAGGTAGACAAGCCTACAGTGACTAAGCAGACACAATCATCGGACCGCGAAGGCAAGACTGTTGCGGGTGCCCTTACAGTGACGGTCGGCTCGCCGTCGAGTTCCTCCATACCGCCTCGCCTCAGTCCCCTGGAACTTGCACGGCCGCCAATGCTCGGGGCTCGGGCCTCCCGCTCCCAGCCGGCTGCCAGAGAAGACCCCCTTCGGAGCGCCTCCTGCACTGCCTGCAGGCCCAAACGCCCATCGCTACAGGGGCCTCAGCTCTCGGCCACGATCCTCCCTCTGCGACACGCTATACATGTCCCTCCTTCCTGGCCGGCGACAACACGACAGGGAAAACAGAGCCAGGGCAGCCTGTCCTCCCAATAACCCTTCAACCGGGTCAGGCGTCGCCGCGGACAGCCCCGCGCCGGCCAGGGAAAAGGCCCCCGGAGACGGCGGGAGCCGCGGCGGTGCGGTTGCGCGTGCGCGAGATGGGGCGGCTGCTCTGAGGCGAGTGCAGGGTCTGGCCCCGGGGTGAGCGAGCTCGTGGTGTCTCCGGACTCTGGCCGTTCTCGCTCCTGGGTGGTCTGCAAGTTAACGTCGTCGCAGCTGCGTCTCAGCGGTATCCAGGCTTTGCCCAATCCCCGTCCGTCTACTGGGCTTGTTTAGGAAGGCGGTCGCCGCCCCTCCCACCCCAAAACGCTCAAAAGGCACGCAGACAAAATTAAAGCGGCTGAAACAACTGTGAAATCGAGACAGCTGGGCTTGCTTAATTAAATACAAATACTAGTTTGTTATCTCACCAAAGCAAAGCAGAAAAGGGGACTTAAATCAGGGAATCCCAGACCTTGTCATGGAAAACTGAGAAGTATTCCAATAACTTAAAGGAGTAATTTATTTTGTAAATGCCATATTTGCAAATACATACGCATACAGGGAAGAAAAGAGGACTGTTTCTAAATTAACAAATAAGCAACTTCTCGAACGAATTGAAGATAATTCGAAATTTAAAGATAAGTCTTAGGAAATACTGCCTGAAAGTGTAGCAGCTGCTTTCATTTAAAAAAGAAATTTGATCTGAAAACAAGACATAATTTCAAAACTCCCCCTTCCCTGAGGTTCTTCTGAACGGCCTGTTTGTATTGGTAGAAAAAGATGACTTGGAGTGGTTAGGAAAATCTTGTCACCCCAATAGTTCGTTCTTTTGAGGTACAGATTGTTAAGCAAAGGAAGAAAAATTCTTGTGGCTATCACAATTTCATCCAAATCTTTTTCTCTGAAGACAGCCATCCATAGGATGAACTTTAATGCAGTTTTGCACAAAATTCCACACTGTTCTACCATCTATGTCTTAATGCATTTTCCAAATGTTTCACGGTTTCACTGATCTGAGTGTTTCTAACACCAGTGGTGTGGCTATGAAGTATGAGGAAAGCATTCATGTCCATTTTCCAGGGAGTAAAAAGAGGCCTAATATTTTCTGAAAGTAAAATGAACATTCAGGGGGTGACTGGCTGGCTCAGTCAGTAAAGCATGCAACCCCTTTTTTTTTTTTTTGAGCATGTGACTCTTGATCACATTGGGTATAGAGATTACTTAAAAATAAAATCTTGGTGGGTGCCCGGGTGGCTCAGTTGGTTATGCGACTGCCTTCGGCTCAGGTCATGATCCTGGAGACCTGGGATCGAGTCCCACATCGGGCTCCCTGCTCAGCGGGGAGTCTGCTTCTCCCTCTGACCCTCCCCTCTCATGCTCTCTATCTCATTCTCTCTCT